GAAATGGCGACACAATCCTATTACCTTAAGTTCTAACTGAGGGGAAACGCCCGATAAATTTGAGAAAGCCTGAGCTTGTAGCATTCTGTCCTTTTACTAGTATGCAGCTATAGGGATTGTTGCTTAATATTAAAAACTAGTTTACTTAACCTAAACTTAAAACTTCTATCCTTTCCCTTGTGACCCTTATTGATGGATATTGTAGTTACCTCCCCTGTGTTACTTATTTCAATCAAACTATAATATTTGAAAAAGCACATTGATCGATATGAATTGCGTGACTAAGTTTTCTGTCTACAGTAGCATGTGATACGCTAACACTATGTTAATGTTTTGATGGAATGCCAGGCAACCTGCACACAGCTGTCTGATCTGGTTGTCTGATATGGCTCAAACTGACAACATGTAAGTAAACCTCCATATACTAACAAGTAAACAATATACAGTATAGCACAATACACACGAGATATATCTTCATACAAATGTACATGCACAGATAGACAATCAGTGATGTGCTGTATAACATATGCATGCATCAGGATTCTAATAAAACTGGACTATTCTAATTATATATTCCAGACAAACTAAAGTAATAAAGGATGGGTCAGGATTTTGTATTATAAAACTGTATAGGTGTGTGTGTGTATACATATGAATCTGTTACATTATACCAGCAGGCCCGTACCTTTAAAGTCATGTTTAGGTGTAAGGATATGTTAAAAATATGTGTTTGTTCAGACTGTAACTTCTGATTATATATATTTAAAAGTTTATAAATATGTTGCAGTTGGACACAAAAGTTCAGGGTCATATCACCTTTCAAAGGTCAAGTCATTAAAATGTTGTCCATTTAATAACTTTTGCTTGACTCAAAATTTTGTTGTTAAATATTTCTTTTCTAAACACATATATACCATGACTAGAGAGAGTGTAAACTGTTATGTAAGATTCTCAGGAATGTATATCAAACTATGATTGTCATGGCAGAGATTAAATCATTGTATTTATTTATGTATCTATATTTGTGTGGAGTATATGGTTTGAAGATAGCTCAATGAAATTTTAGTGACCCATGAATGAAGGATATGTAGTGATGTGTTATGTACCACTATTTGGTCTCCACACTAAAGGTCAAGGTCACATTAAAATCAAAGGTCAAATTTGCTGTTTGGACTATAACCTTTGAATTACTGAAGATGGCACATTGAAATTACAGGGATATTCGATGTAAAGATTGCAAAACAGTGAGTTACATACATCTATTCTATTGGGTCAATATACCAAAGGTTATGTCACATTGAGGTCAAAGGTCAAGTTTCTTGTTTCTTGTCTAGACAATAACTTCTGAATTGCTGAAGATCTCTTAATGAAACTTTAGGTTTATATCATATAAACACTGAATCTGGAATGCATATTCTTGACGTCTGGATGGAATTGAGTGTTAAAGAAAATACATAAACGCAAGAAAACAAGTTTCTTCACAATTAAATATATAAAAATAGTGGAAGTAGAAGTTATTGGTTAACCCTCTGGTCAACAAATGAATATTAAATATTGTTA